CGGGTCCGCCGCAGCTCCGACGGGCTTTCGGTTGACCCCGGCTCTACGCCGCGCCCGCGTCCGTTAGGAGCCTCCCTAGCCGCAGCCGCAGCCGCCCACCTCAGTCCGCCTCCCTTGCGGCTCGCAGAAAGAAGGGCAGCCGGGCCAGGGCCGGGGACCCCGGATTCCACGGCCGACGGCCGGCCGGCATCCCCGCGCTTGCCACCGCGCTGGAAGAGAAAGTGAAATGAAGCGCCTTTCCCCAGGCAGCACCTACCAGGTCCCCAGTCCCGTGCAGCTGCCTCGCTCCTCCAGCGCCGCTGGTCCCCGCCCTCGGGCCCCAGGCTTCGTTCTCTTTGACAATGGCGCGTCCCCTTTAAGGAATAATCCGATCGGGACCGACCCGTGGTTAAACCTCCCTCCGACTCTGATTTTAACCGGATTTCTGTCTCTCCCAGAGCCCGACGGGCGCCCGGCGGTGCTGCGAGCTCTGCCCACCCCTTCCCTGCCCCGCCCACTCCCTCGCCTTTCTGATTGGTGAGGGACACTACACCAGGAACAGTGGTCCTCGCCCTCCACTGGCCGGCCCCCCCGCCGCTCAGAGTTTCCCCACCTTCGCCCCGCCCCCTCCCCCGGGTTGGACCTACCTCTAATCACTCTCTGTCCTCGCCTCCAACGTTGCTTTGGAGAACTGGCAGTCAAGGCTCACCCTCCCGCCTCCGGAAAGCGAACTTTATTTTTATTGGTAGAAAGACATCTTCCTGTGTACCTGATTGGGCAAGGAAGGGCAAGTCTGCACGCCCCTTACCTATTATCACTCTCCCTGGACGGCTGAGAGAAAGGCTGCCAGAAAGTCTTCCCTACTTTGGCTTCCTCTAAGCGCCTTTCCCTTTAAATGTTGGTAGGGGTCGAGCACAAACAGCCTATACTGAAGAAAGCGGGAAAGGGAGACGGGAAGGATGCAAAAATCTTCAGATGGGGAAGGAACACTTCGCACTAGCTGTGGGATCCTGAGAACCCAACCCGGCTGTCTCCGAAACGGCGTGAGCACACCTGAAATCCTAGTACTGACTCCTGAGAATTTACCAAGTTCGCTCTCCCTGTCCACTCTGCTCACAGCCTTGAATCTCTGGCTTTGAGCACCCGGAAGAGTTTATGAAGGTGTCTGAAAACCTTGAGGTTTCCTTGTTTATCTTGCAATCTGACGTTCAGAAAAACCGTTTGAGTCCTTCCCAACAGAAGTTCTGTTTAAGTCACGTCCTGTGTGTTGTGCTGGCGTTTGCGCGGGAGCTACGTTAATTTTTGGAAAGACTGTCCTCTCTAGTGATAGTCTCAAAGTCCCTCTTGCTACAAATAGGGAAAAGCACGTCTACCCAAAGGAAAAGGCAGAAGTCTGTCCGGAAAAGACGGCCTTGTGGCAGACCCCTGCTCACTGAAGGAGAGGGAGCCAGCGACAGCCTCGGGGTCTGCCTTAGCATAGCACACCAGGTTCCCACCCCAGATGCAAGAAGCAAATCATTATTTCCAGAAAAACTTGAGTATGGTTATGGTGTTGGGCCCCGCCCAGAAGTGTTAAGGACCGATTTAGAGTCCTCTCCCTCTTTGCGATGGCCATCAGGGCATCCGTACAGTTGCAGCGACCCCCCAGTTGAATCCCGGCTTGCCAAGAAAGTGCCTGTGCCCAGCAGCACCCTAGAAGCCAGTCAGTCCAGCTCAGAAAGAGGGAAACAAGTGTAGACAGTTGACAGAAAAGGCTTTTTCCTGAGCTCAGGAGGCAGAGACATTAATAGCAAGAAGCAGTAGGAGAGGAGGACACAATTGGGGTTTGCTGGTGGTTTTGAGTTTGTACATTTTTACAGTCGTGGGGATTGAGTTTAGGGACGCCTGCCTGCAAGGTAAGCCCTCTGCAGCTAAGCTAAAGTTTCAGCCCTCTTGTCACAAGCCGAGACAAGAGACAGGAAATTAGCTGGTTTTCAAGGCCTTCTCAAATGCAAGCGCCTAATAAATGCCTTTAAGGAAGCCCTCTGCCCAACCTATTGCTCTAGTTACAGTCATTCCTCCTTTCCATATCTGCAAGGGAATTGCCCCGAGTTCCCCCAAGGATACCCTCATCTTCCAGTATCCCAGTCTCCAATAAAATCACTAACCATTGCAGCATGCTGCATCCTTTCAAATATTGTAAATAATCTCTGGAGTGCTTCTCATACCTACTACAATGTCAGTGCTCTGATAATCATTCTCCTGAGTCTCTCGGTGAATGATGACATCTGTAAATGTTCAGTACAGACACAACCACGGTGGGATTTATTACACAGCACATAAGAGCAAAAATTCAAATTCCCCACCCACTGCCCAATATTTTCCATCCGATTCTAACTAAATCTGAATGAAACTACGGAACCTGAAGTTAGAGTCAAGTGTACACATGTGTACACATGTACTTGCGTATATCAACTGTATTTGTGTGTATTCATCCAGGTATGAGTAGGCAAATACATCTTTTTCAGGATCCTCATTTGTTACTCAAACTTTGCTTTTGGTTATGTGCTGGGTTTTTTTTTTTTTTTTTCAGTGCTGGGATGGCTTTCGGGGCCTTGCACATGTTAAGGACACATTCTGCTACTTAGTTATACTCCCAGCTCTTAATCCACCCCCAAGCTTTGAGACTATGTCTTGTTTCCAGCAGTCCACTAGACTATAATAAGACGGTTTCTTGTGGGCCACTAGACTATAAGGTAATTGTGGTGTAGTGTTCGGGAGAAAATGGCACCTGGTATTTCAAGTGTATACACACCTGCAGCTTTTGTTCCCGTCTGGATGACATCTTCAGTTGTGTGTAAAGCACCTGCTTAGTGAGGTCCTGCTTACCATTGCTGTTTGCACCAGCACATGGGGTATGACATCAGAGGGCAGCCACATTCACTCCTAGGCTTATTTCCCTTTATTTAACTGACTGTGCGAAGCTGGCCTTCTTTCTTCTATTTTTTAAGTATTCTGTGTTTGTCCACCAGGCTTATTCACATTTCAGTCCACACACATGGCATGGAGGCTGGTCTTGAACTCTCCATATGCCTGAAGATTACCTTAAACTCTCCATTCTCCTATCTCCATCACCCCAAGTGCTGGGATACAGGCATATGCCACCATACCTACCTAGAAGAGCGATTCTTAATGTTCAATAGCACAACTGGGTAGATAAAGTTGCCCAAAAAACCTCAATTGATTGAATACTTCAGAAAGATAATAGAATTTTTTTATGTTCTCAACACAAAGAAAAGATATATGTGTGAGGAGACAGAAATGTGCCAATCACGTTAGATGGATCCTAGTATCGTATAAACACAACTTAACTGAAAAATATAGTTACTATTTTTATATTTAAATCTAAAATACATATTTTGAAAACAACACAAGAACAAAACTTCTAGGGATATTTTCTTGGTTTCTTGGAAAAGGCCCAAGTTCTCCACCTTCCATATTTAAATGTGTCTCCCTATAAAATAGCTGACATTCATGGAGAGCATTGTTGAAACACGACACTCATCGGTTTAAAAACAGTTCAGTCTATTTTTCTTACTGAGACAAAAAAGGGCAGGACTGGCCTTTGTAGAAGGCTGCCCAGCCCCGTCCTACTTACAATACTGTAGGGCTTTCTTTAGGCACGCACTGAGCATCACCTAGGCACCTTGACAAAACAAAGAAGCCCCTTCAGAACCTGACTCCTGGCCACCTCTCAGGTTTCTTCTCTGGGCGCTCCTCATTTGACAGTCAAGCCTCAATGCCTTTAGCCAAATGGTGCCCTTTGAGGGTCTCACCTTCCCTCCGTTCCATCCTGAAGAACTCTCCCCGTACAGGTGTTTACGTTCCTCGTGAGGCCCACCCGAGTTGCACCCCCTCCTTAATTTAGTCTCCGTGCTACTTCCCTGCCGAGTGTACAACTCTGTTGACAGGCATCACACCGAAGACAGAAGCAAGACGTTTCTTTTCTGTCTCTTGCACGATCCTTGTTTGCTCCGGAAGAGCAAGGCCACACTCATGTGTCTTCGCCAGCCATGTAACATGATGTCTGGCTTCACTGAAGGCTTTCAGTGAATGCAAAGCAAACTGAAACGGTGACCAAGAAAAGTCTGGCCACAAGTGAAACACCTTCTCAGCTTGAGTACCATTCTAAGAGCATTGCAATTTCATAGTATTTTGTTGCAAGTCCATCTTTTGTAGAGAGATGAGGTCTCAGTGTGTTACCCAGGCTGTCCTCAAACTCTTGAGTGTAAGCAATCCTCCTGCCTCACTTTGCTATGTCGCCGAGACTCCAGAAACACAGCGTCATGCTCAGTTTGTAGGTCTCCCTTGTCAGCGACTCCAGGTCACTGGCCCCACATACACTTGTAAAATACCCAGAGATATTAGGGAACTGACATAAAGCATATCAACCCTTTGTTTTATAAACTAAAAGTATAACTAATAAATATATATGTCTGTCCTATTCTCATTATTTCAAATAAGAACTTTTTTTTTTCAAGTCAGGGTTTCTCTATGTAGCCCTGTATGTCCTGAAACCTGCTCTGTAAACCAGGTTGGCTTCAGACTCAGAGATCTGCCTACCTCTACCTCCTGAGCACTAGGATTAAAGGCTTGTGCCACCAGCCCTGGGAATAAGAACATCTTGAAAGCAAAATTTAAGAAAGTTGTTCCTTCAGAATCAATGAGTTTTTAATTGAACACTTTAATATTGTGAAGAACTTCCGGGGACCTTTGGGTGAGTCTAGAACACTCTCTGCACTTTATATTACTTGGTCTGAGGCTCCTTTTTACCTGGTTTTGTGCCTGTGTGCTGTGTTCATATGTGTACAAGTTCGTGTACATGTATATATGTGCAGCTGCGTGTGTGTGAACATGGAGGCCAGAGGCTAAAGTTGAATGTGATTAAAATGAAAATCTTTTTATTTTAAAGACAAGGTCTCACTTTGTCGCCCTGGCTGACCTGGAACTGACTGTGAAGAAGATCATCCATCTTCGAACTCAGAGATCCCTCAGCTTCTGCCTGCTGCATACTGGATTGAAGGAGTGAGCCACTATGCCCACCCAGCACAAACATTACTTTGACACCTGAGCTGCTTCTGTGGCCCTTTTGACCTATCTCAAAACGTAATTTGAAAATTAATATAGTTTTAGCATTTCCCCCTGTAACATTGAGGAGAAAAAATTATTTGAAATAATATAAGAAAAATTATTAGCCTACGTAATATTCATAAGGAGAAAAAACATAAATTTTTGTTCTATTCTAAGTAAATATTACTGAATCATCACAGTTATCCTGTTTGCTTCCTGTAAGAATATCTGAGAAAAAAATTAATATTTCTTATGAAACTTTTTTGTTTATGTGTGTGTGTGTGTGTGTGTGTGTGTGTGTGTGTGTGTGTGTGTAGGAGCTAAAGGAGGTCAGAAGACTCCCCTTGGATTCATGGGACTGGAGTTACAGATGGTTGGTGCTGCCATGCGGGTGCTGAGAACTGAACCCAGGTCCTCTGCCAGAGCAGCCAGCTCTCTTAACTGCTGAGCCATCTCTCAGCCCTGCTCCTGAGGCTTTTGCAGGTAACTCTTGAATCCCTTCTTCATGCTTCATAGAGTTCTTTCTCTTCTCTTGGGAAGCCCCCAGCACTCTGAAGGCAGAGCCAGGCAGATATCTGATGTGATAGTTCTCTCTGTGTGCTGTGAAAACCATTAATGAATAAAGAAACTACTTTGGCCTGTTGATAGGGCAGAACTTAGGTAGGCAGAGAAGACGGAACTGAATTCTGAAAGGACGAAAGCAGAGTCAGAAAGACACCATGGAGCCAACAGAAACAGATGCTGGGAATTTTACCCAGTAAGCCACTGCCACATGGCAATATACAGATTAATAGAAATGGGTTAAATCAAGATGTGAGAGTTAGCCAATAAGAGGCTAGAGCTAATGGGCCAAGCAGTGATTTAATTAATAGAGATTCTGAGTAGTTACTTCAGGTCGGCCGGGACAAACAAGCATGTCCTTCTCCTACAGATCTCTGTAAGTTCGAGGCCAGCCTGGTCTACAAGAGCTAGTTTCCAGGACAGGCTCCAAAGCTATAGAGAAACTGTGTCTTGGAAAAAAAGAAAAGAAAAAAAAAACTCACAACAACAACAATAAAAATCACTTTTCAATCCTTAGGAATCCTTAGGGGATTTCTCTGATGTTTGTCAAGGAGGAAAACAATAAATACTTCAGTTCTTTTAAAAAAAAAAATTTAGAGCCAGCAAGATGGCTCAGTGGGTAGAAGTACCTGCCAAAAACACCTGACAACCTTCAATCCCTAGAACCCATGTAAAAATACAAAGCAAAACAAAACCCACATGAGGTACTGGCACAAACCTGTAATCCCAGTATTACTCAAGTGAGCTGGGAGGCAGAAACAGGCAGATCTTCTGGAAGGCTGCAGCAGCCTGCAGGATTCAGCAAGGCAAGACAGACTCTGCCATAGCAAGGTATAAAGAGAGAACTCCCAAAGCCCTCATCCTTTCATCTCCACATATGTGTAAGCACATAACTGCACACACACACACACACACACACACACACACACACACACACACACAAATAAATAACATCTTCCTCATATGGCACATGCATTTATCTTGAACATTTAATAACCTAAGGTTAACAGCCCAATGTCTGTGTATCCCATGTGACAGAGTATGGTGTATGTATGACAATACAAGCCACATTGAAGCATGTGGAGCAATGTTTGGGTGATATAAATACAAACTAGTTTGCAATGGCACAAAGCAATCAGATAAAAGTTTTCCATGATGAGACAGCTTACAAAGGCTTAACCACCCTGTAAGGAAAGCTTCAAACACTGTGGTAAAGTCTGGAAACATTATACTCTAACCTGGACTAAATGATTAATACAGATGAGATCATCTTCAATTACTAAAATAACATTTATTTTGTCCCACTTCAGCTCCCATATTTTCTTTTCCTTTTTAAAATTTATTAAATTTATTTTATGTGCATTGTTGTGAAGGTGTCAGATCCGCTGGAACTGGAGTTACAAACAGTTGTGTGCTGTCATGTGGGTGCTGGGAATTGAATCTCTAGAACAGCCAGTGTTCTAAACTGCTGAGCCATCTCTCCAGCCCTCCTATATTTCTTAAAATCATTTATAGATTATAAATTTTAGTGCCTCAAATTCCAGAACTCTGATGGTGAGGGCAGGAAGATGAGGTATTCAAGGTTTATCTTGGCGACCTGGTAAGTTGGGACCAGCCTAGGCTATAAAAGACCCTATGTGAGACAAAACCAGCCAGCCAAACAAACAAAAATATTGCCCCAGCATGGTGGTGATGTATGCCTTTAATCCCAGCAACTGAGGAAGAGGTAGACATCTCTTAGTTTGAGGTCAGCCTAGACTACAGAGTGAGTTCCAGAACAGCCAAGGCTACAGAGAGAAACTCTGTCTCAAAAAACCAGCACTGCCCACCCCACCAAAAACACATCTATTATCTGAGATGCCTTTACCAATAATGCTGTAACTTTAGCCAAAGTATCTTATTGTTGGTTGGTCATATTTTGTGATTTTTCTTTCTTTTTTTTCATCACAGAGAATTACATTCTAAAGAAAGCCACTATGTGAAAATGCTAATAGAAAGAAGAAATAAACCACAGATTCCTTATTAGCTGTCTGACTGAATATCCAAGATGGAATTCTGACATAACCATTTAACTTAAAGATGCAAACAGTATCATACAAAGAATGCCTGAGCCCAATTCAGTCCCTTTTGTCTACCCTGACATGAAAATACCTCTCAATCCAGCACCTCAAAGCATATGCAATAGATAAGTTTTGGATTTTTAAAATTAAATTACTTGAAAGACTGAATGATTTGTTTTTCTGTGACTAGTTTTTGTTGTTGTTTATTTGCCTTTCTTTTTGGCAGGCAGGATTGAGGATTGAACTTCCAATCTCAGGTATTAGGGCAAGTGCTATCTATACAAACGGCTCACATTCCTGGACCACCCCACACTTCTGGTAGGGACAAGGTTTTCTGATGAGTTGATCTGGAACTTGGTGTCCTTCTCTCTTCAGTTCCAGAAGCTGTAAGTCCCACACCTGATTGGTATTCACTCGGAAACCAGCTTAAAATCTTGCTAGACTTCAAGGTGTACTTTCAAGAATCCTGCTAGACATGAATTTGCACCTGAGACAGAATACTTTAAAGAGGGCAGAAAGCAATATTCAAAATTAATATTCAATCTGATCCCGGTGTATTAATTAAAGAAGAGTCAGTAAAAAAATATATATAGGCATTTATTTAAAGGTATCGCTACCATCTATCAACTCTTTATTTTGAATAGATTTCATGGATTATTCAGAGAACTAGGAAATATTCTGGGGTGGGGGAGTAGATAATTATATGACCGAAACACTGCTCTCCTTTGTGTGTGTGTGTGGTGGGAGCTGTCTGTTGATAGAGAAGAAAAACAAAGGACAAAGGAAACTCTCTTTAATTAATCCTACCAACTAAGCAAAAATAAATAGAGCACTTGTTTCAGCAACAGAAGCAAACAGTTGACAACTGAGCGAAGCCACCTGCAAGAGACTTTTGGACACAGGCTGCCCAGAGATCCCAAATGCTTTTGTCTCGCACTGGGATTGACGGTCTTCCGTGTAAGATCAGAGTGTAAACATGTTGATATTTCTAGGCTGTACAGCCTCTGCTGCAGCTATAGTCCTGCTGCCAGAGCACAAAAGTGGCCAAAAACAATACAGTAGACTGGAATGCAGGGTTTTGTTACAAGAAAAAGTTATCGATACTAAAATTACATTTTCATATGAAATCTCAAAATTTCATATGACAATTATAAAATGTTAAAACCATTTCTATTCTTAGCATAGCATCCTTACAAACTCAAGTGATGGACTTGATTGGGCTCATGAACCATAGTATTGCTGTCCTTCATCTAACTAGTTCATTTTAAATAAACAGTATTTTCCAATACTTTGGAGGTGGAAGCAGAAAGTTGAGAGTTCAAAGTCATTGTTGGTCACATAACAAGCTCAAGGTCAGTCGGTGCTGCAGGAAGTCTGCCTCTCAGCAAAGAAAACCAAAATTAACCTGTCTGGGGACTAAAGTGTGGCCTCCGCAGTTGGAAGCACGTCCAACATGCACACTGGACATCTCACAACTGTGTGTCACTCTAGCTCCAAAGATCCAAATGATCTAACATCTTCTTCAGGGCTTCATAGGCTGCACTCACGTGTACCCACAAACAAACATCCACATGCACATGTACATACTCTAAAATAAAAATACATTTCTTTTTAGACCTTTGTTTTGCTCGTTCTGTACTATGGTGGTCTGACTAAGAACGGCTCCCATAGACTCTTACATCTGATGCTTGGTCATCAGGGAGCGGCTCTACTTGAGAAGGATTACGAGGTGTAGATTAGGAATTGGTGTTGCCTTGTTTGAGTAAATGAGTCACTGGAGGTGGGGTTTGAGGTTTCAAAAGCACAAGCCAGGCCCAGTGTCTTTCTCTTCCCGCTGCCTATGGACCCAGATAGAGAACTCTTAGCTACTTCTTCGGCATCATGCCTGCCTGCATGCTGCCACATTCCCTGCCATAATGACAATGGACGAAACCTCTAAAACTGTAAGCCAGAGCCAATTAGATGTTTTCTTTTATAAGACTTGCTACAATCATGTTTTCTTTTCACAGCAATAGAACAGTGACCAAGACAAGCAACTGTAGATCTGGGACTATCATGTATAATAAGAGAAACATGAGCCCTGTCCTCATGGAGCTTACAGTGTGATGGTCAGACAAACATCCAATTATACACATGATAAATGGCTATGGAGGAAAAGTGGAGGTCTAAACTCTGAAAGCAATCTAGACCAGAAGGTCAGGAATGGCCTGTCTGAGGAAGGTGTCTTTGACACAGACCGAAAGCTGAGACCCCACTGACATGGTGCAGAGGTGGGAGCAAGAAGAAAATATGTTAGGTGGGGAGGTCTAGCACCTGTGGCGCCTTGGTTGCCCCATGCCTGGAAAAAACAGCATGAAGAGAAGAGGGGCAAGCGGAAAAGTTGTGGCAGTGGGTAAAAGAAACACATCTCAGGCCCCACAGATTTATTCAGAGCAGTAGAAGCCATTGAAAGCTTTAAGTCAAGGGTCAGATTTGCAGGGTTAAAGGTTTCCAAGGAGGCTGGATCTGGGGGAAATGGGAGGTGGACAGGATCAAAACACACTGAACACACACACACACACACACACACACACACACACATATGAGATCATGAATTAGTAGCAGAAGTGGCTACAGTGGTCAAATTGTCCCAAAGGCATTTAGACCCTAGACTCTGCACTGTATTGTACTTGGTAGCCCTAGGTGTTACTATTTTACCTATACCAGGTACTGTTATATTAATTACTAATATTATATTATATGTTATATTAATTATTAATTACTTTGTACACATATGCACATTTGTGCCACAGTGCATTGGACAACTTGCATGAACTAGCAGTTCGCTTGTTCAACCATGTGGATGCTGAGGCCCAGACTCAGGTCACTGACTCAGTGGCAGGTGCTTCTACTGTCTGAGCCATCTTCTGACCCCTCCCAGTACTATTCTCAATGACTTACATATACCAACTCACTGACATTTCACACGACTTCTTCGAGGGTCATAGGACTGTTACCTGCCCTTAAAAGAAGTTAAATTCATATAATCATCTTACTGAATAGGGGAGGGGATAATTTCAAGGAGAAGAAAATAACAGAGATGCATTCTATAGGACCTGCAGTTTGGCTAGACTACAGTGGGAACTTAGATTGTTTTCTGGAATTGAGGCCCAAATGCAGCAAGGCTGCTTTGGGCATCTGCAGAAGCTCTTAGGAGAGAACTCATTACAATACAAATATACCCAGTGTAATATTTAGGATGTATTTATACTCTAAAGCTCCCTCTGTTTATCTAAGCTTCAGAATTCACTGGGCATCCTCCTGTGTTTTATCTGGCAATCTCAAAGAAACAAACAATCCTTCCCATAAATTGCTGGGTGCCAGCTGGAGACACCTGGCCTCTTGAGAATCAGAAGCTCAGGGTGACTAGAGTAAACAAGCCTAAGAAGCCCGCTGGAAGGATCTAGAAACCACCGGCACAAAATGGCGGAGTTAGCTTCCACCTTTGCCTCCAGACTCGCTTCTCCAACTCTCCCACCCAACAGAAAGCCAACAGGCTTATAGACAGAGTGGGTGGGGTGGGCTTCACAGGGGATCTAGGAGTTGAAGGGAGCGTGTCCCCTCTGCCTTCCACACAGCTCAAAGAAGTACCTGACGTACAACTGACCCCACGATCTGTGAGTAAGACACCCACAGAGTCAACCAGGAATCGAACATCCAGGAAAGGGCTCACCTAGCATGGGACTGGTCCCAGCACTGCATCAGCTGATGTGCCTGTCATCACAGCACTGGGGAGGATCACTGTTGGCATTCCAAGTAGAAGGCCAGCCTAGGCTCATGACATTTTCTCTCCTAATAACTATTTGTATAACATTTATATTATGCCAGATATTAAATAATAACCTGGAAAAGTATGTTAGATTATATACATATATCATACTATTCTATTTTATTTCTTTAGTACTGGGGATTGAACACAGGGCCCCTTGCAAGCTTAGCACATTCAATACAACTGAACTATGCCCTAGTTCACTTTGCTGTTTTTATAAAAGGGACTTGAGCACTCCAAGATCATGGCACCCTGGGGAAGGAGCCTAGAACTAACCCTGGTGACTGAGGGATGAACATATTTTGTTTGTTTGCATCTGTTGAGCCCTTTCATGAGCAGTGGCTTCTTGTGGTACTCTGCCATATCCCCTGGGCTTGGCTCACTCTGTTGACACCCCCTTTTCTCTCCTCCGTCTTCTCAGCATTCCCTCAGTGGCCAAGAATTTCCCCCCTCGAGAGAAAATACAGAAGGTCAGCAGTTCTGAGTCCCTCTCAGAAGCTTTTCATCAGTTGACATCTAAGACCTCATGACAACTGCTTATTGAAGCATTCTTCCAAACAAAAACAACTTGAGCGTGTACCAAAGAAGAATGTAGATGCCAGTAGTTTAAGGAAAAACAATTGTTAAGTTTGGCAGTGGTAGCACTGGGTGGCGGGGAGGTAAGATGTCAGAGGGAAAAAAAAAAAGGTAGCAGCCAGGTATAGATGTGGATGCCAGCACTCACAAGCAGAGACAACGGATCAACGTAAGTTCAGAGTCAGCCTGGTCCACATAGCGAGTTCCGAGACAGTCAGAGTATCTTTTTAGGTTGTATCTACCATACCCAGTTTTACTGGTGACATCATCATACTACTGTGCACCCCCTTTTTCTGCTTATTATACAGAATAATTGGGGTTTATTGTGACATGTTCGTGATGATATACATCAGTATACTCCTCTTTTAAGATTTATAATCATTTTTATATTTATTCAGTTTGTTATTTTATGTGTATGTTTCACATGCATGTCTGTGTACCATACGCATGCCCAGGGCCCTCACAGGTCAGAAGAGGTCTTTGAACTCCTTGGAACTAGAGCTGTATACAGTTGTGAGTTGCCATGTGGGTGCTGGAAATCTAACTTGGTCCTCTGGAAGAGCAACAAGTACTCCTAATCACTGAGCCAATTCTGCAGCCCTATTTTTATTATTTTAATTATGTGTATGTGTGTACCTATGTGTCAGCCTGAGTCTATGCACATGAATGTGGGTACTTCAAGAGGTTGGAGCTCTCAGATGCCCTGCTTGTGAACCATCAGATGTGGGTAATGAAAATCTAACTCTTAGGAAGCAGCAAGCGCTCTTAACTGATGAGCCATATC